GGGGGGGGGGGGGGAGCAGCTGCTGCTCAGGGGCGTGGCAGGGATGAGAAATCGCGCTTAGACGTTCCGCTCACACTAGCCATATACCAAGCGTGTGGCCATTATAGTCCACTGTGTGCCGCAACGATAATCAAGCGATGCTTGGCGAGATGCACCATTCTAAACACCAAACTGAACAGCACTGGTGAGTCGGCCAGTAATCCTACAAGGAGTCAGGTAGCGACAGGAAAATGGCCAAAATGATTCTCCTTTGTTCGACTACAGTGCTTTGGATAGACAATTCAACCCGAAACGTATAATGCATCAGTTGAGGACCATTTGCATGCCACCCTGGTGCAAAAAAAAAAACCGGGCGTTGGTGAAAAGGTGACAAGGGCGACGGCGACATACCCACACTGCAAGCACAAACTGTTGGTCCAATATAAGAAAGGGAAGAGCAATGCTGCAGGTGTGATGAAATATACTGGTGCGTTTGACAGAGAACGTCAGCAAAAGAGACCACAGCGCTGCGTGTCGGGTGTATTCATCCAGAAACCACAATCTGCATGACCTTCTGGAAGTAGGGATTTCCTGTGTACATCTCGCGGGACCGCGGTGCCGACGAGTAGCAGCTGCTGTCATCCTGAAGCCGTAATATGCGCGGCCTTCTGCAAGTGGAGGCATCCCTATGCACAGACTGCAGGGAGCTTCCTGTCGGGAAGTTCCCTCAGTCTGGACGGCCCACAATGATGTCGCCACATTACGACCAGCCACCGACGAGGTTGGCACATCCAGCGCACTCCGGGCCAAAGGAGGGCAGTACCAGCGGCCAAGTGGAGCACAAACCAGTGGCTTATACAGACCGCATGACACTAGAAAAATTCAGTACACTTTCACAGCACTTGCAACACGTTTGCAGCACCTTTTAACACTTACATACACCTCTGTAGAATGCATTGAGAAGATGAGCGCAGAAAAACAAACCTGATAAAGCATAATTTGCTAGCAAAAGCGCAAATCGTGTAATTGAGAGACATTAAAAACACATTTGAATGATGAAAAGGTCATGTTGCGGATGGTCTCGTTGGAAAAATGCTCGTTTGGTCTCAGGGTTTCTGTATAATATTTGCTTTGGAATGCAGCACGAGCATCAGAAACAGATTGGTCACAATGATTAGTTCGTCGCGTATACGCGACGAAAGGATCATGCACCATGTATACACGATATGAAAGACGGTGAGAAAATAGCACCCAAAAGTTTTAGAGTGCGCAGCAGCTGCACGCGGTACAAACCAAGACGATGTAAGCATTCCAAAGCGCGATTATTTGAATGTTGAGCACGGAAAACATCTCAATCCAAGACATCTATAAATTTACCGACGGATAATATCCCCAATTGGCAAATATATAAATCTCGGAACATGTATCTTCACCAAAATGAATTTCAGCTAACTGCGCTCGACACTTCTTCACAACATCCTACGGACGAGGGCAATGTGACGGAGTAGACAGAACAATAAGGAGACTCTCCGTTCCAGCCAGTTTCCAAAGGCCGACGGGCAGTCAGATCATACCTCGAGCATATGTTTGAGTTCTTAGCTGCCGCCCTAAGTGCCTCGTACGTTTTCCGGAACGGTAGCAATGTTATCCCGGGCCGGATCCCACCAGCTGGTCTAAGTGGTGATCAAGGCACCGTGCGTGGACTGAAACATTTGAACCAACTGGGTTATTTTTTTCGATCGGTATGCACGCTGTCACAGTTCAGGTGATTACCAGGGCATGATTTAACATGGTATCCGATGGGTGAGATTCTTTTTACGGTTTCGTTGATTCCATGCGTTTAAAACAGGGGGGAGGGGAGCCATGGCTCCCCCACTTTTCAAGGTGGGGGGGGGGGGGGGGCAGCAGCGTTGACTGCCCCCCTCACTTTTCGGATTAAGGCTGTGTTTAGCTTACATTTGCACTACACTAAACATATACGTCAGTTTACTTAGTTCACCAGCCATCTTCCACAAGATGCGTCATCTTTTTTCCGTTTGCTTATTGGCCATCGCTAAATGTCATAACCACAGGACCGACGTCGCGCGGCCTATGGAGACTGCAACGCCGGGTGCCGAGGCTGTTGTTACTACTACTTGCGAGCGCGAACGTTCAAAACCATATTGCATGCTTTTTATCAGTAATCAATTCTGACTGAATCTTGAACATCTTAAGATGAACATGGATTAGCCATGTGAATAAAAATTGTTGACCTCATTTTATCTACAATCTACGTTAAGGGAGTCCTCAATATCTCTGGAGAACACCGAAAAACATGGAACTGGAGTCCATGTGACAATTATTGGACCACCCGCGGCGATCAGGCATGTCGTTGCATCAGTAACGGTTCCTGCACCGAGCCGGGGCCAACTGCGTGGGTCAGAAGGCCTCCCGCGTCAGGGAAGGGAACGTGATACGACATATCCTTCTAACGGCCTCCGGATCGACCAGGAGATCCCGCCCCGTGTCGCCAGAATGGCAGCCAGAAGACATTTCGCGATGTGTTGGAGTGGCCCCTCAGCCCTTGGCTGGAAAAGATAATGTGCCCCTCGTGTTCTATTCAAGGGCCCCTTGCCCGGAAGGAGATAAGGGTTCTTATCATTGTTAAGTAGAGTGGGGTCTCATTGTTGCTGAAGAGAGTGGGTCGAAATGAGTAAAAAGCAAACCAACAAGACCATCTCATGTTTACCTGAGCAACTTCATTTTCAGAATGGATTAGTGAAGCGAATTATATCAAAAGGTTTGAACATGCCCACCCGCAACCTCGGGAGCAAGGACAGCGATGACCTGGGTTGCAGCTTGTGTAAACCGAAAGGCATCCTCCACTGCCAGTGCCACCAGACAGCAGGCGCCGCCGTGATTAACTAGTTACAGAAACACGGAAAAATGAAGTTTCTCCCCTTACTCTTCCAGTTCTATCACCAGATTCCAGCACCGCCTCGCGGTGATTTAGGTGTCAATCCGTTCTTATCATCAGTCTAAAAATCGCACACATGAAAAATCGCACGCACGCCCAGGCTGCCTTCTAAATATAACATTTGATGTCCTGAAGCGTTTAAATGAGCTTGTCTTACAAGCGTCGTTATTTTCGTCCACCAGTTGCCACGGCTCAGTATCAGCTGCTGGGCCGACGCTGCGCGGCCTACGGAGACTGCAAAGCCAGGCGTCGACGTTTTGTTTCTAATATTTGTGAGTGCGCATGCTTAAAATCACGTCAAATGATTTGTATCACTAATAAATTGAAGTGTTGAAAGGTACTTATTTCAGAAGTACCATCATTTTTGTTCATCAGTGGGCCAAGGCTAAAAGTTAGCTACTGGGCTAACGCTCCGCGAAATAAGGAGACTGCAGCGCCTGGTGTCGAGACTTTCGTTGCTAAGATTCGCGAGCACGCATGTTAAAAACCGCGTTACATAAATTGCACCCCTGGTCGATTTTGACTGAATGTTGAACATTTCCAGACAAACATAGCTTTGTCATATTGATACGCATTGTTAGCCACTCGATCTGCGCACAAATTTTCATTTTTAAGTTTTGATCAAACATATCGATCTACCATCTACCTTTGCGATGTCCATAATGTTTGTGGAGCCCAGATAAAATATTCTGACACGACTTCTGAATGCTATCGTTTTAGAAAGAGCCCACTAAACCGTTGCAAACCAAGGATGCCAGTGATTTAATCCATGCGGCCGTTCAACGCCTGTTTTATGCAGTTTATGGACTTCAGAATACAAGCAGAATTAATCTCACGGCAGCTTCTGGTTTCTGTTCTGGTTACACAGTAAAAAGGCAATAAAACGAAAAATACCGTGTCCCTTGTTAACTGTGCAAGCTATATCCGGGGATTTTTTTAGCGGGGGGGGGGGAGGGCTTCACCATAAGAATGGCTTTTGTCAACCCTGTGTTCCCCCTTGGCAAGGCTTTGGCTACGCCCCTGCCTACACACAAAAACAGATCAAGTCGTCTAGGTTGAATGATGGGCAACCAAATGTCCGTTGGGCCAACTCATGCCTACGGCAGGCAGCTTCCCGGAGGCTTTTTGCTGCGGTGGTGGGGCGTAAGGAAAGATAATTCTGAAAAAGATGCTGTTGCAGGTATCCAACACATGCTCTGCACACCAATTACTGGCAATGCTGATCCAGAAATGTGTAACAAAGCAGCCATGCGATCAGTTCGCGGTCAGTCATTCGGAAGACAGCCGTGCCAGGACAGTGGCCGCCGACGGCGTACGGGAGCAGGGCTCAGATAAATAACATATGACGGAAGGGCATTCATTCTGTGGGTTGGTTTTCAAAGGAGAGCCTCCTGTTGTACGGCTTTTGTTACATTGTTTTTGGCAGTTTCAAGCTTCCTAATTCGTTTCCGCCTCAAATGCTGCGGCAAGTCCCATCTTTTGGAAACCAGCCCGCGAAATCAAGGTGCATGAAAAATCTGTCCGGCTATGAGCCATCGATCCAATATCAAAATTCTCACTAGCGTATATCCAGGCCGTATATTGGCACTTACCCTGTGGAGGCAGACGCCTCCTCAATGACCCAAAATGCCTACCCGCTCGTGGAATTTCGCCTCCCCAGAAAAGACAACATGGGAATTCGATGAATTATCCTGGGAAGATGGATAGCCTTATTTGCCGAATGGTATAGATGAGTCGAATAGGCAAGAGTGTGCAACGGTGAGAAACAGCTCTAGATGCATATCTAGACTAGCAGTCATTACATTTGAAAGAGCAATAACAGCCTCCATCTGCATTCCCCCTTCCCCATTCATCGGGCTGCTTTCCAGAAAAAGTTCCTGAAGTACACCCCGAGCTTGCCGTCCAAAACATTTTGAAACGTTCCTACGTTTCATCAGGTTGATCCCGATGTTAAATGCATGTAGATTCCAAACATCAGATTTTTTATAACACGTTTTTAACAAAACCCTTACAAAATATCGCTGCAATGCACCTGATCGACGTAACCAAAGAGAATCGCCTGTGAAACCCGCCTTATCGCAGCAAAGCTGGCCCGTGACGGACCAGTGACAGGGCTGGCGGGTACTGGGTCGGGGTTGTTGTGTTGGGACAAAGAACATTGTACCGGTGTGTGCTCAACGGTTAGTATTAACATGTGATAAATTCAATGACTGCATTCTGTTTTCGTATTCAGACGGTTCGCGAACGTTGATTAACGGTGAGGTGTACTACCTAATTTATGGGTTTGGTTCAAACGTCGCTTCATCCTCAGAGCAGATTAAGACTGCGCAAAGCAAGGTTGCTTGCATACAGATGTAGACAACACACATTTAGGATTATGTCCCTGGTAGTGTTAGTTTCCCAGCTCCAGCTTCTACTTTGTTGACAATAACCACTATTTCCTGTTGTTATATTTCTTCAAATCCATGGCATGCCCATTCCTTAAGGTTCTGCTTAAATTTCAATGGTTGATATATAAGCTACATTATTAAAAGGCTTGCCTCTAAATGATACAGTCAATGCTTCTGTTCTCTGACTTTGATTAATTAGATTAAGGTTGGCCTGAAGTGTATGGTCAAGATTTTTCTTAGCTTTATCAATTTACCCCTTCTTGGCAAGTAATTTAGAAGCCCATTGCGGCTTCCACATCTTTGGCAACACCTGATGGAGCTAATAACATGATGTCTGTTAATTCGTACCTTATTTTTCAGACAGCTGTTTTGAAGAAATTAGGCATCAGAATGCTTCCCCTCAAGCTAAGATGTCTCTTTTTGGCAATGCTGTGTCTGTGTGAAGCAACGGACAAGTACCAACCAGAACAGATACATCTCTCATATGGAGGTTGGTATATGCTTTAGTATTTGTGGCTGCATGGCTGGTGTTTGTATTCACTACTTGTCCATCCTGTCATGCTACTATGGTCTGTTACCAATTTAATAGCTCAGGAGTGCTTGAAAGCTGAAAGAAGGATGCTAAATTCTAAGAATTTGGGATCAGTGACATTGCTACTGAATTTCACCACCATTGGTCCTGGGTCCATGTGCTGTTCTTTGCTTTGGGGACTGTCCTCTGCCCTCATGTATGCCATCCACACAAAATGTGGTATGCACAGTGCTCATCTAAATGTACAACCTTCTGAAGCAACAGCATTGGCAGCTTAGCCCGGTGAAAAAGCTGATAGATTTTTTTTATGTACATTGAAACAAAATGCTCCATGTGGAGAGTAGCAGTGAATGTTGAAATAAGGAAGGAATGTAAGAAAATGGTTCATTTGTTATAGCCAGCACCACAAAAAAGTCTCCACGGCACCAGCCGGAACTGTAATTTGGAAGATGTGAACAGGCAGCTGGGCATTTTGTGTCAATTGGGTGCAGTGAAGAGCAGCAAGTTGTTCCAGCCATGCAAGCACAGGCCTTACTTACCTGACATGTCTTCATGCTTAGGAGACCTGCTATTGTAAGTCTAGCTTTGAACACACCTTTGGATCATAAGTTTCACTCCAAACTATGTTGAAGAGATAGTGACACTGAAAACAACACTTCTTGGCCTTTAAAATTATGTTGAAAACATGAACTTGCCCTGGGTAGTCAAATCAAGAGTCACCAGGATCACAAAGATAATGGTTTAGCACTGTGAAGTGCAGAATTTTATCATTGTGCTGATGCATTTCAGTTGTATGAAGGCATCCCTTGCACGAACCAAGCCAGATCTCGGTACGTTATGTATGTGTATGCCATGCACCTGTGCAAGAGAGCACAAATGGGACCAGAACACCCATTGGGCACTATCAATATTTTGGTGTACTGCTAGAGTTTGGTGTACAAACTATGAAAAACGGGAATGAATGGTGCAGCGCATCCGTTGGTAAACTCAAGATGCCGAAGCCAGTGTATGGCTAGGTTAACAGGCTGCATACAGCACATGCTTTGATGTGAACAAAGAGTGAGATATTGGTGCTGGTAAGATTGTGTTGTGCTCGCGTTCGTCTTCGTTTTCACTCGTTCAAAGTCAACATCGGTCTTCGAAAATTTCTTGTCATTATTCCAAACACCAACCAATCTCCAATCTCAGCAAACCGCACTGCAACCCGCACCCTCCGGCCGCCATCCGCTAACACCCCGCGGTGCGCGCACTCCCCGTGCCCGCCGGAACTGCTCAGCTGATCACACACTCCCCGTGTCCGCCGGAACTGCTCAGCTGATCACACACTCCCCTGCCCGCCTGAACTGCTCAACTGATCACACACTCCCCGTGCCCCGCCGGAACTGCCCAGCTGACCACACACTCCCCTGCCGCCGGAACTGCTCAGCTGATCACACACGCCCTTTGCCCGCCGGAACTGCTCAGCCGATCACACACTCCCCTGCCCGCCAGAACTGCTCAGCTGATCACACACTCCCCTGCCCGCCGAAGCTGTTCAGCTGATCACACACTCCCCGTGCCCGCTGGAAACTGCCTCAGCTGATCACACACTCCCCGTGCCCGCCGGAACTGCCCAGCTGATCACACACTCCCCTGCCCCGCCGGAACTGCTCAGATGATCACACACGCCCTTTGCCCGCCGGAACTGCTCAGCCGATCACACACTCCCCTGCCCGCCAGAACTGCTCAGCTGATCACACACTCCCCTGCCCGCCGAAGCTGTTCAGCTGATCACACACTCCCCGTGCTCGCCGGAACTGCTCAGCTGATCACACACTCCCCGTGCCCGCCGGAATTGCTCAGCTGATCACACACCCCCCTGCCCGCCGGACCTGCTCAGCTGATCACACACTCCCCGTGCCCGCCGGAATTGCTCAGCTGATCACACACTCCCCTGCCCGCCTGAACTGCTCAACTGATCACACACTCCCCGTGCCCGCCGGAATTGCTCAGCTGACCACACACTCCCCTGCCCGCCGGAACTGCTCAGCTGATCACACACGCCCTTTGCCCGCCGGAACTGCTCAGCCGATCACACACTCCCCTGCCCGCCAGAACTGCTCAGCTGATCACACACCTCCCCTGCCCGCCGAAGCTGTTCAGCTGATCACACACTCCCCGTGCCCGCCGGAACTGCTCAGCTGATCACACACTCCCCGTGCCCGCCGGAAATGCTCAGCTGATCACACACTCCCCTGCCCGCCCGGAACTGCTCAGCTGATCACACACTCCTCGTGCCCGCCGGAATTGCTCAGCTGATCACACACTCCCCGTGCCCGCCGGAACTGGTCAGCTGATCACACACTCCCCATGTTCGCCGGAACTGCTCAGCTGATCGCACACTCCCCTGCCCGCCTGAACTGCTCAACTGATCACACACTCCCCGTGCCCGCCGGAACTGCCCAGCTGATCACACACTCCCCTGCCCGCCGGAACTGCTCAGCTGATCACACACGCCCTTTGCCCGCCGGAACTGCTCAGCCGATCACACACTCCCCTGCCCGCCAGAACTGCTCAGCTGATCACACACTCCCCTGCCCGCCGAAGCTGTTCAGCTGATCACACACTCCCCGTGCCCGCCGGAACTGCTCAGCTGATCACACACTCACCGTGCCCGCCGCAATTGCTCAGCTGATCACACACTCCCCTGCCCGCCGGAGCTGCTCAGCTGATCACACACTCCCCGTGCCCGCCGGAATTGCTCAGCTGATCACACACTCCCCTGCCCGCCGGAACTGCTCAGCTGATCACACACTCCCCGTGCCCGCCGGAATTGCTCAGCTGATCACACACTCCCCGTGCCAGCCGGAACTGCTCAGCTGATCACACACTCCCCGTGCCCGCCGGAACTGCTCAGCTGATCACACACTCCCCGTGCCCGCCGGAACTGCTCAGCTGATCACACACTCCCCGTGCCCGCCGGAACTGCTCAGCTGATCACACACTCCCCGTGGCCGCCGGAACTGCTCAGCTGATCACACACTCCCCGTGCCCGCCGGAACTGCTCAGCTGATCACACACTCCCCGTGCCCGCCGGAATTGCTCAGCTGATCACACACTCCCCGTGCCCGCCGGAACTGCTCAGCTGATCACACTCCCCGTGTCCGCCGGAACTGCTCAGCTGATCACACACTCCCCTGCCCGCCAGAACTGCTCAACTGATCACACACTCCCCCGTGCCCGCCGGAACTGCCCAGCTGATCACACACTCCCCTGCCCGCCGGAACTGCTCAGCTGATCACACACGCCCTTTGCCCGCCGGAACTGCTCAGCCGATCACACACTCCCCTGCCCGCCAGAACTGCTCAGCTGATCACACACTCCCCTGCCCGCCGAAGCTGTTCAGCTGATCACACACTCCCCGTGCCCGCCGGAACTGCTCAGCCGATCACACACTCCCCTGCCCGCCAGAACTGCTCAGCTGATCACACACTCTCCCGCCCGCCGAAGCTGTTCAGCTGATCACACACTCCCCGTGCCCGCCGGAACTGCTCAGCTGATCACACACTCCCCGTGCCCGCCGGAATTGCTCAGCTGATCACACACTCCCCTGCCCGCCGGAATTGCTCAGCTGATCACACACTCCCCGTGCCCGCCGGAACTGTTCAGCTGATCACACACTCCCCGTGGCCGCCGGAACTGCTCAGCTGAGCCCCGACCGTTACAATTGGTATCGATGGACTAGTTGACCTAAACTCGTGCGTAACCGAGAAAGGGAGGGTGTAAATGTTGGTACAGAATAACGAAAATACTGTGAAAAGGGGCCAAGTGCTGGAAGTTTGTCACTGACTCCTACGTTTTGAACATGGGGTAAACACAGTCAGTTATGGTTGAAATGTTCGATAGTGGAAAGTATGCCAACTGGCACAGGAAAGTGTTCATTTGCTAAGAAAATGTGGATCTTGACCACTTTGGCCCAGCCTAGTGTGTAATCACTTGGTCTAACTGTATATTTGTGTCAGCATTGCTGCTTAGTGTGCATATTAAATTAAGAACGTCGCCCGTTTGCTGAAAGGAAACACCGATAACCGATGCGTAGAAAGAGCCTAGCGCCCCCAACATGCCGCCGCGCCGAAGACACTGTGGCACGTGCCTGGAGCGTAGGCGGTGAGCGCTGCCTGCCATTCCAGAGGACCCGTCTCACATGGTGGTCACGTGGAACACGGGTGAGCTGGTGGCCTCGGAGGCGTACTTCGGCGAGTCGCGGCTGCACACGCAGGTGGTGGGCAATGCGAGCCTCTTCACAGACGGCGGCGTGCTGAAGCGCGCCCAGTACGTGCACCGGGTCAGCATGGGCCCGCTGAAGCCCGGCACCAGATACGGTGAGTGCCCCGGGTGTGACGTCACTGCCGGCGATGGTGGCTGCCAGGGGCTCTGGCGTCACCAGCTGTGCTGTGTAGTACTGAATGTGGTAATAGATGGGTTTGTATATGTTCGTCGATCGGTCGGTTAACCAGGCGGTCCTTTGTGTCGCAACAAGGACTCGAATATCGCCCTAGCCAGCGTCAGTGACACTGCCGTTGCCCGTTAAGTGCGGCCCGGCAGCTTACTTCAAGCGGCTCTGTCCCGCAGTGTATCAGGTCGGCAGCGACGCCGGCTGGTCGGAGGGTGTTCACCTTCACCTCGATGAAGGCCGGCGTAGCGTGGAGCCCGCGCCTGGCCGTCTACGGCGACCTCGGTTCACTGAACGCCCAGTCACTGCCCAGGTCAGTGGCCCCGAGTCTGCCCGCCCCGGCGCACGTCGCTGACTCTTGGACTGGCGGGGCACCGAGGTTGACCCTTGACCCGAGCGTAGTGATCCCCGGTCGGGCAGTTACCCGATCCGTCGTCCCCTGTCGGGCAGTGCCCACTGTCCAGGCCTGGCGCGTCGGGGCAGGGAATGCACCCGCTGTTGGTCACCTGACTCCAAACAGACAGACCCGTCCCCGTAAGCTCAATATTTTGTTGTCAGTTTTAGAGTGTTGCAATGCGGTTGGACATTTCTCAAGGCATCCGGTTTTCTCACTCCTTCGCGAGCTCGGACATGTGTACCTCACGTGAGCGTGTCCTGTGCGCCGTACGCGTGCCAGGAGCTGACTCGTCTGCACCGCAGACTGCAGCGTGAGGCGCAGCAGGGCCTGTACGACGCCGTGCTGCACGTCGGCGACTTCGCCTACGACATGGACACGGACAACGGCGAGGTGGGCGACGAGTTCATGCGGCAGCTGCAGCCACTGGCCGGCTACCTGCCCTACATGACCTGCCCCGGCAACCACGAGCAGAAGTAGTGAGTAGTGCGCTGTCTGGCGCTGAAAACCACGGCTGGATGTAGTGAGTAGTGCGCTGTCTGGCGCTGAAAACCACGGCTGGACGTAGTGAGCAGTGCGCTGTCTGGTGTAGTAGGCTTGAAAACCACGTGCAGATGCCGTTGGAAGCACGCCGTCTCGTGTTGAAAACGACGGGTGGATGCAGGGAGTGGTGCACTGTCGGGCAGTAGAAACTTCGGCAGATGCAGTGCGTAGCGCACCCTCGAGCGCCGGCAGGCCCGGGCGGATGTCATGCAGTGCGCAGCGTTAACCCAACATGCCGTCAATGGTAGGCAGGTGCAGTGTGCGCGCGCCGCGCACCCTCGAGCGCCGGCAGGTCCAGCCGGATGTCATGCGGTGCGCAGCGTCAGCCCAACATGCCGTCAGTGGTAGGCGGGTGTAGTGCGCGCGCTGCCTGGTCTGTCGCGGCGTCGTCGAGCCACGTGTGCAGTGAGTGTCCTGGTGTCTGGCGTCCTGGCGTCTGGCTCGGACAGCCGCCGAACCGTCGGCTACCGACGTTGGCAGCTAGCACCGGATGTAGCGACTAGCACGCCTTCCACCTGTGTTCCCCTCCTGTTGTCCATGTTCGTGTTACAAGCCATATTTGAATAACGTTCTCATGAAGACCCCACTTTGCTGTGTTTCGCATCTGAACACCCATCCTGTTGTTCCAGCAACTTCTCCAACTACAAGAACCGCTTCACCATGCCTGGGTCCGGTGACGGTATGTTCTACAGCTTCGACATGGGCCCGGTTCACTTCGTCTCTGTGTCATCGGAGTACTACTACTTCCTCAACTACGGAATGAAGATGGTGGCCAACCAGTTCAAGTGGCTGAAGAAGGACCTGGAGGTAACATTTGCAATCTGTTCCTCACATTGCAGTTACAGTGTGGTTTGCAATCTGTTCCTTCGGTGTTCAGGAAAGGTGGGGTCCATTCTCTGGACTGGATGTAGTTTTTTACATTACTACGGTACGTTGCACGGGACTCAGCCACCATACCTAGCATTGTCTTCGAATATCCATCCCCCAGTCGCTTTAGACTTACGGCACGACGAGTTGATCTTCGTTTGCCGTGTTTTTGTCGGCGTGCGACTGCCTGCTTCCAACACCAGCTCGCGCGCCGGCCGTCCGCTCGCGGTGACCCCCCCCCCCCCCCCCCCCCCTTCCGCCCTCTTCCCCCCGTCCGCCGCTGACGGGACGCCCCCTGGCGGCGGCCGCAGAAGGCGAGCCGGCCGGCCAGCCGCGCCCTCCGGCCCTGGATCGTGCTCTTCGGACACCGGCCGATGTACTGCTCTAACACGGACAAGGACGACTGCACGCGCCAGGCGGACGCGCTCCGCGTCGGCCTGCCACTGCTGCGCGTGTATGTACCGGCCGGACGCGCCGACGGCAGCGCTCTCGCTGCTGGCCCGCGTGTATGTACCGGCCGGACGCGCCGACGGCAGCGCTCTCGCTGGTGGCCCGCGCGTATGTACCAGCCGGACGTGCCGACGGCAGCGCTCTCGCTGCTGGCCCGCGTGTATGTACCGGCCGGACGCGCCGACGGCAGCGCTCTCGCTGCTGGCCCGCGCGTATGTACCGGCCGGACGCGCCGACGGCAGCGCTCTCGCTGCTGGCCCGCGCGTATGTACCAGCCGGACGTGCCGACGGCAGCGCTCTCGCTGCTGGCCCTTGCGGTGGTCACGCTCTGGAAGGCTGTGTTTATCCGAGACACTGTCGGAAGAATCTATGGCTTATTCTTTTGAGCTTTTGTCGGAAATCGGCTGTTTCTGGCGTTTCTCCGATCGAGATTCCGTGTTTAAACCTAGCGCATTGCACCAGGCAACAGACATCGCTGTGCATTGCGAACAGCCGACATCCCGGGCTCTGGCTATCACGAACGAGATCACCTGCAGGAGGATGATTTACCAGCTGGCATGACGCACACTGGGCCATGACATCCCGGCACCGGCCGTCGTGCTCCGTCAGCTGCACCCGACCGTGCGCCGCCCGCTGACACCGCCCGCTGGCGCCGCCCGCTGATGCCGCCCGCTGATGCCGCCCGCTGGCGCCGCCCGCTGGCGCCGCCCGCTGATGCCGCCCGCTGACGGCGCCGCTGACGGCGCCCGCCGCCTCCGCCAGGTTCGGCGTGGAGGAGCTGCTGATGCAGTACGGCGTCGACCTGGCCGTCTGGGCGCACGAGCACTCGTACGAGCGGCTCTGGCCCGTCTACAACTACACGGTGTTGAACGGCACGGCGGCCGACCCGTATCTGAACCCCGGTGCGCCGGTGCACGTCACCACCGGCTCGGCGGTGAGTGACGCGGCCTCGGCGGCCTGAGCGGCCGCACTTGGCCACGTGGGCGAGGCCGGGACCATCACGTTGAGTGGGCCATTGGTTTTGCTGCTCGGGCGAGGCTCGCCTTTTATGGATTGCTGTCCTCAGTTAAGGGATTAAGACAGTTGCTGACAGGTGTTGTTTGCTGAAGGAGTTCCCTCTCTGACCCGGTTCCATGCTGATTTATTGCTCCGTTGTCTGTCATTGGTTCCTCCTAACCAAGTGAGCCCAGCTAGTGGAAGCTTTTCATGTTGCAGGACAGTGTAAGGTGCTTGACTTTAAGTCTGGCTCCCGGCCCAGTATTTGCTGGAGCCACTTCGACAGTGTTCTTGTGTCGTGGACAAGGCGTCGCACCTGTTGTTTTATTCATCAACCCAGAACGTTTGTAAGAACAATGCCATCTTCTCATGGCCAACTAATGAACGTCAGCTATTGGACGATACCAACAGTCTCAGCTTAAGGCTAATTGCTTCGGTAAAAAATGACGGTAAACTGACACTTGTATTTACAGTAATTATAAGTTTACCGTTGTTTGTATCAACTCATCTGGCTAACGCTCTCTGTCAGTAGCCATTGTGTCTGCAATTGAACCAGAGGCTGGAAGCTGAAAGTTAGGATGGGGCCCAAGGTGGCTTTGGCCTTTATTTTGAACATTGCTTTGGCCTTTATTTTGAAAACTGACTTGTAAAAGGCTTCGCAGTTTTCCCGGTGCTATTCGATTACCTCCCGAAAACATGACACAAACTGTTCTACCTCCCGAACATTTCTTCGGAAAGATTTGGGATTGTCTCTTTTGTTTTTGATCAAGTCGCCTTCTAGGGCAGTGCGCCTTGGCTCGCCGCCCGGCAGCGTTCCACAGCGTCACGGCACCGTCGGTGCCGGTCACGTGACGTGCGATGTTGGGTCGATGTGTAACAGCTCAAGGGTAAACTGACCTTCCGGCTCAGCAAAGAGACCCGGAACCGGCTGCAGACTGCGACCCGTCTGGGTTGACGGTGCATTGCAACGTGTCTGCTGTCTGCGTTCAAAACCCAACGAAAATGACGCTGTCTCCTTAAAATTCGTCCGCCTGAGGCTGGATGCGAGGCTTGCCCCGTGGCACGGTGCTCCGATGAGCGTGTCCAGCTGACTCGTGCCGCGACGTGCTGTGTACAGCGACGTCCCTTGCGCCGCCGCCGCCGCCGTGCCGCCGCGGGTCGTCCCGCCGCCACGTGCGCCGCTGGTGACGCGTCAGAGTAGCTGAGCTCGTGACCGGCCCGGTGCCGGGCGTCTCTGGCCCGGTCGACTGTGGACCGGCTCACTAGCTCAGCCGGCACGGCACCGGACACTACGGCAGGGTAGCCGAGCTCGTGACCGGCCCGGTGCCGGGCGTCTCCGGCCCGGTCGACTGTGGACCGGCTCACTAGCTCAGCCGGCACGGCACCGGACACTACGGCAGGGTAGCCGAGCTCGTGACCGGCCCGGTGCCGGGCGTCTCCGGCCCGGTCGACTGTGGACCGGCTCACTAGCTCAGCCGGCACGGCACCGGACACTACGGCAGGGTAGCCGAGCTCGAGTCGCACAATTTTCGCCTGACTTCCTTTTGTTGCGTAACCTCACTTCTGTGCAGTCCAAGATGGCAACATCGAGATTGTGTTGTCTTGGGATTGAAGATAGATACAAGATACGCTATTTGGGCAGAATCGCGAAGTAGGCGGTTTTTTCCAGGTCTGCTTTTCTTATGTGATTGTCATGTTTTCTTGCCATCAAACGCCCTGTCTATGTTTTCGGCAGCTCGTATTTCGAAAGGAGTGACCCAGCATACAATGGGGATGGCTGGATCACCAGAGTACCTATTCAGCCCATCAACTTGCCCAGGGCCCTATAAGCACTTAATGCAACTGTGTAGTGCTGTTCTCTTGTGCGATCTGGCCGGCTCACTTTGGGTCCCACGGATGTTGCGTCGATGACCACCCCCCGGTGGAAATTTGATAACCGCTTGAGAGTAATGGGCGATTTGAACGCCGAATGGAACACAGTGTTTGAGGTGTGGAAGAGGTGTTTGAACGGTTGTTCAGGCTCGAGGTGATACCGAAATTATCTATAGCACCATCCTAATGCAGAAGAGCGCTCTGCTCTCAGTCCAGGGGCGCTGGGTAGGACGCCGAGAAAGGGCACACTGTGTGACCAAGTGATGTCAAAAGATCAGCTGGCAACCAGCCAAAGTGGAGCCACCTCTTGGACACACGTCACCGCCTCCCCCACACCTTTCCGACACAGCCAGGACGGTCGTGCTGCGGTTTTGCACGGCCTACGGAATCCTCCACAGTCCTGTGTCGAAAAAGGCCGGGGACAGAACTGTCCGATGAAGCCGACCGGTCCGTCTTGTGTCGTGGGTTCAGGACACGTGGCTTGGCATGACATGACTCTAAACTAAAAAAAAAAAACTATCTGTGCAGGCCATCCGAATTAAACATCTCGGACCAAGCCCCTAAATTCACGAAATATTTCAAGACGGCGTGGTGGCAAAGTTTGACCAAATGGTTTTGCAGGTCACCATTCACCATGCACTGTGACCTCATTCTTTGCTTAAATTCATGTACACTGTGCAGTACACAATAGGCACCAGCATGCGCAGACACTTTAACATCACTTAAGGTGCAGCGTTAGGCCGTGGCGAACTGCGGCCGAGCCTGCACATTTCAACGTCCATCGTTAACGGACCACGACCGTCACGTCTGTCCCGGTGCACGATGTCGTCACGGTTCGACGCCGCACCATAGCTGGGGTCGGCGATGGCCGGTCGCCACGCCCCCCCCCCCCCCCCATTCCGAGAACGCGACACTCATCGCCGTGGCCGCGCTGTTGATGGATGACGTCACTGGCCGCGCTCGTGTGAATTAAGCCGCCTGCTCTATTGATACGCGCCTCGTGCCATGGTCTCTCATGTCCTTGGCTGTTCACGTGGGCTCCGTCGCTGGGTGGCCGAGGCTCCTGTCGCTGTTAACGTGAGTTCCGTCGCTGGCTGGCCGGGCCTCTGTCGCTGTCCACGTGGGAGCACTACAGTTATTAAAAATGAGTTCGCAGGTCGAGCAAGCTGAAGCCTTCAAATGCCCATAGATGGCCACTGCTTTTTTACCACTGCTGGCCATTGCCTTCGTTTGCGTAAAAACTGACAACTTTTACTTGTGCTACCGCTTCGCTAATAACGCACCATAAAAGGTGTCTTGCTGTTACCTAATGCGCGCCGGGACGGCCGGTTGAATACCTTTTGCTCGTGTGGGGGCCAGTTCGACCCCCTGAGATCTTAGAAAGTAAGTAGGCCAGAGATACCAAATTCACAGGGTGTGTTAGTCTGTGCGTGAACTCACATGTGTCACAATTTGAGGCTTCTAGGTCGTGACCTTCGGGTGAAATAAGGTCAAACACGGTCAGACTCCAGATTGGTGTTAAAAGGCTCCCAAGCCTTCTCATGCAACCACCGTGAACCCATATGCCTGTTTCATGGACAATGTCACTAGTGTTTATTTGAATTCAGTGACCTTTTGTGACGTTTTGGACGTCATAGTGTCCAAAATCATACTGCTTGTATATTTGCATTGCAATGAGCGTCAAGGAGAAAGGTAGGCAGTATGTTCCTAAAATCAAGTTGTTGACTTGAGTCATTTTGAGTCAGTGGCATATGCTGGCCTTAAAAAAGTGCATGGAAGATTGTAATGCGGTTCCTGTTACCAATACATTCAAAATAAACACCAGGAACTACCCCATTCAGCAAGCACTAGAGAAATAAAACAGGCTAGTTTTGACCTTGGTCTGACCGTTATTCCTGACCCTAGATCAATGACGTTTGTTAAATCGATTGCTTTTTTGTCAAGGAGACTATCATATATATATATATATATATATATATATATATATATATATATATATATATATGGCTTCGTCTAACACTCCGTCGTTGCATCAGCTTGAACGATTCCCTAGATATCGTCTTCGCTGAATCCATGGACCTACTTTGACCTTTTGTAGGTCAGTATCCTTACAAGGCACGTCTTAAGTTTTGATACTAAATGGTCCAATATTCAGTTGTCTACATCTATGCAAAATTGGGCACGGCTATGCTGCGCCGTTCGGAAATCATTCCGGAAAGCCCTCCCGCGGGGATCAAATTGACCCCCGCCCCCAGCCGAGCGTGTGTTGATAGCATGACATACAGAACTGTGAAAGATCTAGCTCGAAATGACGAAAATTGTAGAACACGGGGCAGCCATTGCATAGTTGTTTAATACCTAGATAAGACAGTAGTAATAGCTTTATTCCTGGGAGAAAAAAACAGCGGAATGGAGATGCGGATGGTTTGATATTTCGGCAACATGCTTTTATCGGAACAATTATTGTTTCGACACATTTAAGGTCAGTGACGTATGCTGACAAGAAAAAAGTCCATGGAAGACGTATGACGCGGTTATGCCTCGATAAAGGCATGTGGGAAAATATCAACCCATCCACATCTTCATTCCGGTTTTTTTTCTCGAATGAGTAAGGCTATTACTACTGTATTATCTATGTGAATAATGCTCTTCGCAAGTGCGCTAACAACTTACAACTTACGTAGTTAAATGCAAGTAAATAGCTACATGTTGACGGAGCGTGTAAAAACTTCACCTTCCAAAAAGCTAAACGAATGTCTGGAAATTGTCACGCGGTTCGTAGGATTTACCTTATAAGGTGATTGGCTCACAGCAGGCCAGTCATGTCATGGATTCAGCGAAGGCAGTTTCTAGAGAATCAATCGGTTTAGCTCAATCTGATGCAACCACGGAGTGTTTGACAAATTCATCTATATCTGTGATGTTTTTTTAGGCAACACAGCAATCGAATTAACATTTCATTGACCTAGGGTCAGCAATGAAGTTTATGTGTGGTGTACATCGGCTTCCACATTTCGGTGATATTTGGAATAGTTGATAACTCAAACTATCCAGGCTCCCTCTAAC